TGTTGAATCAATCTCAGAGGGATCATCTGAGGAATAATCTGTTGAGTCTTTATTTAATTTTATTTCCAACAACTGCTTCATCCTCCAGCAGGCAGTGTTATTTCCAGGACTTGACAGGAATGTCCAGCTGTCTGACACACAGATAACAGGGGTCCTCCCCCACCCCCGGCATGGGCCTTCAACCTCTTCTTACTCATAAGACGAGCTCAGCTGAGCTTCCCCAATTAGACTTACACTGTAAATAGTCTATAAACATGTAAAAAGACTCAATCAGTAGAAACACATTTCTACAAAAAACAATTTTTTTTGAAGTTTTAACACTCAGACATAAACATGATTTTTCATCTTGTATGACATTATTGAAAATTTGTAGGTAACAAAAGTGAGCTGCAGATCTGATCTCAGAGTAGGAGTTGGGTGAATAATTTGTTATAAATGTGAGTATGATAGTCTGGGAGGCTGAGCTGGTGATCTGCACCGTCTGATATTCTGAACTAAAGGATGACATATTTCTCACTTTATATGGTTAGAAACTCATCTTACAGCAGGACAATCTGGAACTGCAAAACATTAGCTGCTATCTCACTGCTCTGCAACTGCTGATGACAAACAGTGAACTGTATTTTCCAACACATCTGGAAACATTCGTAGGTTTTCTCAATTTTCTTGCGTGAGTTGTAGGAAAGCATTATAAATGAGATAGCTTTACGAGGGGTAATGATCTGTGAAACTAAATTGTGACTGATTGGAGACAACAATTAGAACTGGACATTACAAGCGCCACATGCTGACCCATCAGTTTAAACAGCTCTCAACCCTTCAAGATGCGAGACTTTGAATCTCACATTTAAAGCATCTTTCTTTGCACGGACAAGTTGAAAGCAAAACCACGGTGGGAGGTAAAGTCCGACAGACAGTGCATCTGGCAGAGGAGATGTTTATTTTCAGTTCATAACAAAGGAGTTGGGGGACGAACATCTGGTACTTCTGTTAAGGGATGAACTGATCCAGATTTTTTCACATCCGACCCCGATACCAGAGCTAGCTTGTTTTGAAATTATTATTATTAATACAGGAGCCCAATACCAATACTGGATTGGATCATCCCCATCTCTTTCTTTTGTTAACCACAGACAAGAGATGTTGTGTAAGTTTGTCTCCAAGAGACCGACACCATTTCCAGCACAGTGTGAGAGAACGGATCTCTATGCTGTCCATGTAGGGACCCTCTTGGTCCCCACTAGGGCTGCCACAAACGATTATTTTAATAATCGATTAATCACTGATTATTTATTCGATTAGTCGACTAATTGGATCATATGTTAATTGAATATAAAACAAACATGCAGCTTATCGCGTCAGAATGCAGCTGCTATTATATAACCATGGTTAGATTTTAGCTATATGCTAACTAAAAATAATTGCTGTGGAAGGTAAGTTCTGCTCTGCAGATATTGCACAGGTTTCTCTTTCATTTTCTTAAAATGATCCCACACTTTTGAGCTCCGTTGTCAGGTAGCCATGATACCAGAGCCTGTCTGTATAATGTCTTGTGACGTCCACAGCCTACCCCAGTTACCACTACTGTGCATGTGTGTCAAGGACAGAAAGGCAGATGTGGCAGTGGAAGGTGTCAAAGCAGTTTGGAGAGAAAAACAAAGTAGAACAACAACAACAAAAAAGAAAACGATTAATCGATTATTAAATTAGTCATCGATTATTTTAATAATCGATTAGTCGTCGATTAATCGATTAATCGTGGCAGCCCTAGTCACCACCCCACACCCCGCAGGGGAGGCAAACCCTGTCTAAGTAATAGAGGTGTACCAAAAAAATTTTTTACATCAGAATCATGATTCTCATTTACAAAGATTCAGAATCAATTTTAAATATCCCAAAATCGATTAAAAAATGAATGAATGAATGAATGAATAAATGAATAAATAAATAAAGCAAATCCAAAAGGTTGTCAGGCTCCTTTTTGTAACTACCGGGACATCCTGACGTCACATGCAGCCGGTTCTTGAACGTATGCATCAGCAGAAAGCACCAAAACAAAGAGGAAACTACAAAAATGGAAGAAAGAGAGATTCAACTGAGCCCTTCTTCATCAAATGCAAAGATTTGGGCTCATTTTTGTTTTTACTGACTCAGTCCGAGTTTGACATGAAGATGAAGCATTTTGGGAACGCAACAAATGGTCTCACACTATCAGTTTTAATTTAAAAAAAACGATTTTGAATCAAATCGTGGCCCCAAAAATCTGAATCGAATCAAATTGTGAGATAGTAAAGGATTCCCACCCCTACTAAGTAAGCACAGCCATGCAATGGTTCGGGTCATTCATGTGCAAAAATAAATAAAAACATTTAGATTTGTGATGCATTTGCATGCAGTGTGAACTTTGCCCAATTTACAAACCTAACCCTCCAAGTGTTGAGTGACACAACTCGAATAGTGACATGAAAGACTCACTTCAAATCAGAAACCTCTTTATGAGCATTTAAAATTAATTACAGTAATAAACACGAAGCTTTAAAGAACTGACATGATTTATAGTCGGGACGTCTCTTTAAAAACATCAACAACTCCTCTGTGTACACTTCATCTGTGTTTATGTGACGTGCACATTATTTAGTCCTGAAAAGGTCAGATTTGACTGATTTAATGCATTTTACAATGAACATCAATCACCTTTGATCACCTGATAACCCTCTCATCAACACTTTTGAGAAGTGGTCTTGGTTTTTTTGTGTGTGTTTGGGGGTGGGTCAAGATTTTACTCAACTAAGACCACTTCTGTTTCAATAGAGCTGATGAGAGAGTCTCTTCAGTCAATCGATGATCAGCTCAATATCTTCGTTGTGTTACAATCTTCCAGCAGCTGTGTTAAATTTGTTATTTATTAAGAATTGGTTTTGTATGAAAATACTGTCCTTTAGATTCAGCTGCAAACCCTTCATTTTTTGTGTTGTTCTCAGAATTGGACCAGGACTGGGTCGGACATCACACCGAGGTTCTGTCCTGAGTCCCGAAACACAGACAGGATTCCATGCAACCTTCAAGTGAAAATGAAGACCCCAGACCCAAACCAGTGGTTATTCCGTATGTTGCGGGTGTTTCGGAGAAACTGAGACGTTTATTTTCTAAACATGATGTCCCTGTRGCTTTCAAACCCCAAAATTACGGCAAAGGCTGGTTCACCCCAAAGATCCGGTGCCCCGGCACAAACAGAGCAATGTTGTATATGCTGTKAAGTGCCAGGAGGACTGCGACCAGTTATACATCGAGGAAACAAAGCAACCACTGTTCAAAAGAATGAGCCAACACAGACGAGCTACATCCAATGGCCAGAACTCTGCAGTTTTCACTCATTTACAGGCCAGCGGTCACTCTTTCAGAGATGAGGATGTTCTCATTCTTGATAGAGAGGAACGTTGGTTTGAGAGAGGAGTAAAAGAAGCCATTTTTGTGAAGAAAGACCGTCCATCATTAAACAGAGGTGGAGGCCTCCGTTTTCAGTTGTCCCCCTCCTACAGCACGGCTATTGCCAGTATCACTCCACCCTGTGTTAACAATAGGTGTTAATTAGGTGTCAACGATAGCCATGTGATGTGAGTATCAGTCACATGGAGGCAGGGCTTAAAAGCCTGAATTTTGCCTGAAACTCTCAGACTGAAGAAGTCTCTTGGAGGAGAGACGAAACGTTTCATTAGAGAAGAACCCATCCAGAAGATCGGAGTTTTTAGTAGGTTGAAACGTCTGGAGCTCGGTCCAGGAATATTCTGTCTCATTCTGACTTTTTAGGAGCAAAATCTAGACCAGAACCAAACATCTGATCCAGATGGACTCAGGATCTCAGACTATCCTGAGTAAACACGGGGCTGGTTTATAACGGTACATTTTGAAAATGTTAAAGTGCGATTAGCTAACATTACACTACCATTTATTATTAATAAATGCATAAATCATGTTTATTGATTCTGTGATTAGTTCAGATCCACAACATTTATATTATGAAACATGAAAAATAACATTTCTGCAAAACCTTTTAATTTACAGGACAGATTAAACGTTAAATTTGCGATTTTTGACAGACAAGAAAAAAAACGTAACTTATCAATAAAAATGTTATTTTTTTAAATACCACTTTTATTGTATTTGATGTAAAGATTTATTTACAACACTATATAGGAAACATGACCAGGCAAATGTTTATTCTAATAGGACTGAGGATAATGAAGTTACCTGTGTGCAAACAGAGGCAGTACTGCCCTTAAATATAAAAATAATTACTACAAAGTATACATGTTAACGATATGTTCATGTTGGAAGAAACGTGAGGGATTTGGCTCAGTGTTTATAATACAAACACCAAACCAACCTGGGAACATCCACACTGATGTGACGGACACCGACAGGTTCAAATTCAACCACGGCTCAACTCAAACTGTGTAAAAATAATAACTTTTCTGAACGCCTCGGTGCAGTTAGCCGACGATGCTAACCGAAGAATGCGGCTAACGAGCGGTAAACAAACTCCACGGACTGCTCCAAACATGTTTTACGTTCACTAAAGGACACATTTAATGCATTTAAGCTCCCTCGGTGTGTCTCTAAATGTTTATTTTGTGACATTTCACGTAAATACATTGTGAACTCGAACTGCAGTCAAACTTTTTTTTACCCCGCTCACTCAGGATGCGTCTACGTCCTGGCGCCAACGCAAGACACCAAATCTCTTCTCCGGACTCTGCTTGCTTACTGGATCAGTTCTGTTGTTTGCAACCAAAAATGTTTAATTTGGTTTTAAAAGAGTTTTAGAGTCTTATAACTTAAATAAGCAAGTAATTTTGTAATAACAATCTAAAGACTTTTAAAGCCGACACATTTTGGCTGCGTGCGCTCCAGCAGATAGACGGCGCTGTGAAGTCGGGTTTGGACCCGCTGGCTGGGAGTGAAGTTCTGGTTCGGATTAAAAAGGAAGATAAATGCCTTACCTTTCTCCTAGACTCTTTGATTTTCCTTCCAAATATTCCTCTTCTGAAAAATGATTTAGTTTGATCAAATCCAAAGCTGGAAGCAGCGCAGAGCGACAGAAAGCCGTATATCCCAGCGGTGTTTCAGGAGACTTTTCCAGGACTGTACTCCTCCAGCTCTACGATCACTCTGGTTTTTTTTCCCGTGTCTCTCAACTACGGCTAATTACAAAGATCGTCTACTATTGATGCGATAACTCACTACAATTTAAATATTATCTATCTTGACTTTTTGCTTGTTTTTTCTTTATTTTGGTATTAAATTAAACATTTCAAGACACATTACGCTTGGCTTAATTATTTCTGGATTATACATTTAGATTATTTAAACTGAATATATTAAGGTGCAAAAGTATTAATGAATAAATTATCATATTTAGTTCTAATTAGCTATATTTTTTTCATTCAGAGATGTTTAATTAAACCTATTACAAAGCTAAAAGACAACAGTTTGGCAGCTATAAGTCTATAGCAGGGGTGCCCAAACATTTTCCCAGAGGGGGCCAAAACGAAAATCTATCAGGGGCTGTGGGCCCAATGCAGTAATATAATACATTAAATACAAATACTTTTTAAATAAAGTCCTTTATTTTTAATTATTAAGCTAGCAGCCAGTGCAATGACCCTCTTTTGTTTTAGTCTGTGCACTTGGAGAAAGACTGCCGTATGCTCAAGTAGCAAAAGCTCATGGGACATATCATAAATTGATAAAATATGAGTTTTGTGGCCTTGTAAAGTGTGCAAATCTACACGTAGGGTTAAATCTGATCTAAATATCTCTTGTTACTTCACGTTTCATGTTTAATCCTAATAAATCAAAGCTAAAGTCAGCAGCATGAATGAAAACTACCTTCACTACAGCCCTTTATACAGTCATTTGACCAATGGAAAAACTGTGTTTCTAGATAGGTTACAACCTTGTAACTTTGGCAACTGTTGGTGGGCCAAATCAAATGGCTTGGTGGGTCAAATTTGGCCCGCGGGCCCCACTTTGGGCCCCTCTGGTCTATAGAGTTGGCATGTTTCAGCACAGTGTTCAGTTCAATGTTACGAAACGATAAATTGTCCAACTACAGTAATTGGATCCATTACTTGAGCACCTATGTTAACTTTTCAGCTGAAAATACTTGTTGGTGCTGGAATTAGGACAAGTTTTAAATAAAAGTTTTATAAACATTAGAACATGTTAAAAAAATTACACAAGAGTCTTGAGACATGAAAAGTAAAAATAAATACAGAGTGATTTAATGGCTGTTTAATGGAAAATATTATATTTACTCCTCTAATTAAAAAATGCTTCTTCATCTTTTATTATAATATATATATATATTTATATATTTACGTTTATTTATCAAGCTGATTTGCAAAAGCTAATATAAATTTGACGTAAAGACAAGTAATTTTACAAGCAGTTTATTTTCAGTTTTCAGAGTAGTTAACGGCTCAAAACCAACAATAGGCCATTTAAAAGCTTGTTTTAACGCAGACCACTACACAAGCTGTCGTTTCATATCATTTGAAATATTATTAAATACATAAAAATAGTCTTTCGCAAAATATAGGAACATTTCTAAAAAGGAAATGAGGATTTAGCTCAAAGCTGTGAAGTTTTTTTTCTTTCTAAATGAAAGAATTAATTTTAAATGTTGCTATTGTACAGCCCAGTTTGTGTGTTTATCACAAAACCTTTATCATAAACCTGTTTTTAAACATTCTTAGTCGCAAAATATAAAGTAAATTTGATTTTTGCTGCATCTTCCAGCCCACCTGTTAAGCTTCTTGAAAGAATTGTCAGAGTGAGCGCTCGTTGTTTTTTTGCTCTCTCTGCTGTTAAGAGACATATCTTGGAGTTTGCTTTGAAAACCATCCACCGGTTAGTTTGTCTCCCTCTGGTGGCGAGAACGAAACAACAAACCCCAAAATCTGCCTACCTATAATCACTGATAATGAATGACCTAACAGGAATGTTTCAGTGTTGACTTCTGAGTTATAGCTTATATTGCAACACTTTAGTCACAGTTACAGAAAACTCATGACAAATATTTAAAAAAAATTAGAACAAAACTGAAAGAGGAACTGTATAAAGGTCAAAAATATTTAAGGAACAGTCAGGAAATACCTACTGGTCTTTGAAAGGGAGAAACATCTGTTACAGAAACAATGATGCAATAAAGGAGTTATTAGAAATAGACCGACATTAAAAAATGTTCCTTTGTCCTAAAAATGTCTATCATCAAAAAATGTAAGATTAGTTTTGTTTATAATAAAACTAATAGAATGGAATATTCTCCCGCATGTTAATTACCAGTAAAAGTAAAACAAACACACAATAAACTTTGAMAACAGATGATTCCATGTGCTTGAGGCGCTCATTTTATTCAACTTGTGAAACAAGTCGTTCTGCTGGAGTTCAAACTGTGTGAAACAAATGAAACAAGCAGCATCCTGAGCTCCTTTCAGACAGTGATCACTCTTTACAACAATAAACCGTGGGGTTAGCACTTATTTTCATCGTGACACAAACTAACACTGATACAAACCCTGCTGCATGCACACATCCACACTCTGAAAAATAAAACATACAAAAGAATACAAAAAGAACTGTACACAAAGTAAGTGCCAGTTTGAGCAAGAGAAGTCCGCACACAGATTGTAGAGTTGTTTATGGAAAAGGCACAATTTGCTCAACATTTATTTCTATTTTAACTCTGTGATTATGTTAATTTAAAAACACAAACTGTTTTAAAATAAAATAAAAAATAAAAATACAAAAGTTTTGTTCACACTGGTGAACTTCAGTTTGTTCTGTTGGTGTTCTTTTAACGACCACAAGATCATTTTTTTGACAAACTCAAATGAGTGAAATGACTTGGAAACATCCTAAAAAGATTCATCTGTCAGAAACTTTAGCAAAAACCTGAAACTAGAGGTTTAGCCTAGTTTTTTTCTAAGAAAAGCGGCGCTGTGAGTCCAAACTGAATATCTCATGTTATGCAAACGATGTTGCTTTGACCAAAGTGGAGAGCTGCAGGGTTATCACCCGAGGCAGCGAGTCAGATCAAAGAGGACGGCAAAGTCCGTGTTGCTTCAAGTGGAGGCGTTACATCAGGGCATTGTTCATGAGCAGGAGAAGGAAACTGAGATTATTTCTCAGAAGAGCTGGTCTCAGATAGGGCTCAGGTAGCTGGGGTTCTCAGTCCTCCAGGAGAACCAGAGCGAGCTGGTCCTGTTTGAGTCTTGAAAATGTTTTATTTTTTTATTTGAAGACATTTTTCAGGAGAGAATGGAGAATATGTGCTGAATGAGAAGCAAAACTATTTCAAGAATCCAAATTCACTAGCAGCAGGTTTAGCAGAGCGCTATGCTGGTAATACTAAATCAAATCCCTTCATGCTGTTGCTACAACCTCCACCCTGTTTTCTAGAAGTAACAGAACTATCATCGGGGGGAGTGTTTTGATCAACAGGGCAGATGGTTCAGCTGCGAGGGGAGGCCTGTCATTTTTGGACAATGGTTGAGGAAAAGCGCTCAAGTTAATTTTTATTTAAAGAGTAACTTACCCCAAAATTAACTTTTTTTTAGCTGATAAACTGTCTAGAATGTGTCTAAAATGTTATATAGTACTGTTTCTGCGCGTATTTGTTCAAATCTGTAATATTTGGTCTAAAAACATGTTTTT